AATACATTATATACGCAAATATGTTTACACTTAGATCGACATAATAAAATTTTTTTGTCTGTCCATTCCATTTATTCGAACATAACCATGGATTACATGTGACTACATACCTACTATTTAATTTTTCTAAAAATGTTGGCGTGCGCAATTTATTGGTATATATAATTTCAAAAGTAAATATTAGTTCTAAAACTTATATGCTATAAGTTAATAATTTTTACATCATTAATGTTATAACAGGTTGCAACACATAGCCGTTAGCCTTAGCACAACTGAATCAGAGTACATAGCTTTAAGTCAAGCCGTACAAGAATTAACTTGGTTAAAATTGTTTTTAGGTGAATTGCTGGACCAGCCAAAAATGGTGCCAACAATGTATGGAGACAATTAAAGTGCGATTAAACTCGTAAAGAATCCAGAGTTTCATAGAAGAGCAAAGCATATAGATGTTCGCTACCACTATATAAGAGAAAAGTTCAATGAGGGATTGTTTTCATTGGAGTACATATCCAGCAAGGAGCAGATTGCGGACATTATGGCAAAGCCAACTTCACGAACGCGGTTCAATGAGCTAAGGGAGATGTTAGGAGTTATAAATATTGATGAAAAGGGTATATTGTTTAAGGAAAAGTGTTGGAATTATAAACAAAACACCGTATATAGTGTAGTGTATAAGTTATATATTCACACTGTAGTTCAGCATACGCTGACTATACATTTTTATAATACTACAGCATATATGTCTTGTGTAGTGTAGCCGGGTATACATAGTTAGTCGTTGATTTATATTACGCCTCGTAACACTATTGTACATCGTATCATTATACTTATTATTATTTACCTTTAATTTCTGTATATCTGTGTACTTCAACAATTCTAAACCAGGTTTAGAGAGTTGGACTGATCACTGATATTAAAATGAATGCAATCTATTATTTTAAATAACGTTGGGCCAAGACCTATTCACACACCTGTTGGACTAAGAGAGAACAATACAAAAGCGTTTATCAATATAAACAACAACAACACATCAATAATGCGATTGACCATAGCAGAAATATCTAATGTTACTCTTAAACTAATACCTAATATTAATCGGATTTTTTTTTTAACTTGATGCTTATGAGCACTTGGTAATTAACTTATATATATATATTACATTAATATGGTAATTTGATTGCTGGGTGGAGAGTATTATTTCTTGTGAAACTACTGAACGCTCGGTATATGGATCGTAATAAATATGACAAAAAAAAATTAAACATTTACCATAGAATCCGAGACATGACGTTGACTCACTGGCTCCTTGTATATTGGGATCACCAGTCACTGCAGGTTGTTGTTTTTATTGTTGTTGATGTTGTTGTTGAACTGCGTGTTTTGTCCACCCTCGGACTTCCAGGTGACAGACCTCGCCGATCAAATTGCCCTACTCCATGACTGGGGACATTGCACACTTGGTAGTAAAACTGTGTTGCGCCGATGACCACTGTCGGAAAGTGAAACGGCGACTGACGACTGTTTGGCAGCAACGCAATGGTGGCGGCCTTTCAGGTGTATATCGATATAATAATAAAATACGATATGAAACTTGTTTATATATTTTTGTTGTATGTGTGTGCGGTCGGGTTGGGTTCGCCTTATCTCTCCGGACTTTATCCCGATATTGTAGCATATAAGACCCATAAACCCATAGCGACTTCGGTTCGTACCACGGGGATAATATAGTAACGTTACACAATATAATATTATGATTCATTATTTTATAACTGAGTTAGGTATATTTGAAATTTTATTTTGTCTTGAAAAAACTAATATACCTACATGTTTGGTGAAAAATTTAAGTCTACAAATTATTCAATTTTCAATTTTTTTATATAAAAACTCGAAAATATATTGTCATTATTATAGACGTCGATTACAAAAAATAATGCATCCATATACATTGATTTTATTTAAATGATAATTTTATGTTTGTAAAGTACGTATGCCTCCAGCTTACTCGGTACGGCTGTAGGCACCTACCATAAAACGTATCACTCGAGTCTTTTCGCACACATTTACAAGACAATGGTCATATTATATAAGGTACTAATATAGTGTAGGTACTCACACATTTGTACATACGGCTGGTGTCGTTTGTTACTTCGCCAAATATGTTTTTAAGTCATTGGTTTGAAATGAGAATCTTCTAATGTCATTGGACCTAAGACGAAGCGGACTACAATTAGTATAACAGCCACGGGCCAGGCGACTTTAGCTACCATCGCGGCGGGAACGGTTACTCTGACGTCTAAGCATCAACACGTGTCAGGAGAGAGAGTCTATTGACTCATACGACGACGTTTCAGACGGACTACCCACCGAATTATCACCAAACGGCGACGGTACCGAGCGACTCGCACAAGGGCGGTATAATCGTGCTACCAAGATATTATACATACCACAACGGTGCACCGTGTAGTGTATTATCCCGGTTTACCTCTGTTTAACACGGAGTACCTTGGCGCCCGCAATGTTAACCTGGTGGTGCACCACGCAATGTAAAACCTGGTTCACCATATAGTTATGTACCCGGTATACAATGGTATACACGATTTCCTCGCACTTATAGTGGATAGCGATCAGATACCGGTCGGTAACCGAATTATCACCTAGTGGCGACGGTACTGATCGACTCGCACATTGTGGCAGTATAATCGACCGAGGTATACACCAAGACGGTGCACCGCCTAGACAGTGTATCCTGGTTACCTCTGTTTAACACGGTGTACCTATTGGCGCCCGCATAGTGAACCAGGTGGTGCACCACGCAACGTATAACCTGGTTCGCCAAGTTATGTACCCGGCTTACAATGGTGTACACGACTGCCTCGTTCCCAGTGGACAGCGGTCAGATACCGCTCAGTGGAAAGCCGGTCTGATCCGTTGTCGGATGGGTCATAGACTCTAAACTACGGTTGATGGTTGACGCGGTCAGAATGCCAGGTTCCGTCATTAAATTTTGTCCGCGATAGTGGCCAAAGTGGCCGAACTGAATGTCTGGTTGTAATGATATTCAGCTTCGTCTTACTTGTTACGTAGCGATCTTCGCACGGCACACACTATAGTTCAATGTCCGACTAGGTCTGACTGAAAGTCGAAAGACAGAGAAGACGATACAGCTTTGGCCCTTTGCTCGCCTTCGATATCTTTGAATGGGCGATTGTAAACTCCGCCAGAATATCGATCAAGATAAAAAGGTAATAATAGGTCTATGGTAAACTCCGCCAGTTTTTTTTTTTTACCTGGTCAGTGCGACAGTACTCACATTGCCACGTGCCTTCTCACATTAAATACGTTTACCTACATCTATTGTGATGATATATGTCAAAATTGATAAAATATTGTCAAGGTTAGATCGATTCAAATTATTAATAATTTATAATTTAAATTATTTATTAATTATTATTATGAAAAATATGATTTTGGATTATTTATTATGATTTTTTATACTATGATTTAAATATTGATATGATATTATATCATAATTTTTTTTTAAATAATATATCATATTAATTTTATACTACTATTTGATTTTCTTCACTGGCGGAGTTTACATAAACTCAATTTTACCTGATTTTTTTCAGTGGCGGAGTTTACATGAACCCAATTTTACCTGTTTTTTTTTTCTGGCGGAGTTTACATGCGCCCCTTTGAATATCTAATTGATAGTAAATACTTAACCTACCTAAAATTCTGTAAAATTAAAAAAAAAAAGTGTTTTAAAATTTACATTAGTGGTAGTGATGAGGCTGTCGAAATATATGTAAGGATGTAAATTGTATGTTAAACTTTATTATATTATATTTAATGTTTATTTTTTTAATTAGAAATAAACATCTACATTATTTTAAACACGAAAAAATGAAAAGTAGATATAGGCCAATATGATCTATAATGGACGGCACTATGCAGGTGTATTTTTTATTTGATCATAAATCCATAAACTATTTTTCTCAATGTCCAGTTGTTTAATAGTGTAATAGTGTATAATGTATACCTATTATAATAATCTACGATGGAAGTGGAACTAACGTATTTATTTGTACACACAAGTGCTGACATACGAGACACACAATAATTAAAAGATTTTCATATATATTGATTAGAAAAAAACATTTAAAATGATCAATAACTTTTTTAAAATCTATTTATTACTTTTTCAAATAAAATTAAAAATTCTGAGTTATTATTATTTTGGGTACTACGAATATAATTAACATATTTTACAATTCAGAATTCTGTCTTATAAACGTGAATATTAGTAAATAGACGACTTATGACTTGCGTGGATCGCACTAATGTTTACAGTATATTTACAAGAATAGTTTTTGTAAACCTACATGTCTTTGTTTATTTAAATAAAGGTACATGTCGTGTTCATCTTTAGCAACTTCAGTTATTTAAAATAGAAATACGTGATTCTTAATACTAACATAATTTAACAGTTAAAAACCGATAAAATAGCAATAGAGATAGAATAACTTCAATATATTTAGAAACAGATTAAGCATTTAAAACCAGTGGCGTCCGCAGGGGGGGGTCTAACGGGCTGAAGCCCCCCATTGCCCGTATTATTATTACTTTAAAAAAAAATATTAATCAAGTTTAAAATGTCAACTATAGTAAGCAAGACGTAAATTTCATATATGTCTTACCAGAATGAATTCATTTTTGAAAAAAACATTGTATTTGCATACCAATTTTCATAAATTATCTGTAATTTTTCGGTAAAAGAATGAACTACTTGTATGAAAGACCTTGTATTAAATTGTCTAGTCTTAGCTATACATATTTTATATTTTATGAGTTTTGAACTACAAATTAACTGTGGTTAAATTATTTTGAAC